TTTCTCTTGGGCTCAGAACAGTATCTTACTTCTTTGTCAAAAGCACCTTCCACTTTTCTTCTTCATAGTTTTCACTGCTACAAGTTCATGTGTCCAGCTGCAAAGCTGTGTAAGTTTAAAAACAACTTTATCTAGAAAAGCCAAGAAACACTTCACTGAAGACAAAACATAATAGGTATGTGAAGCAAACAGCTGGTGGAGTGAGAGAGATGGTGTACAAGCAGCATGTTTGTTTCTACAGATTAGCTGGGCATACAGTTTCTACTTATAGAGCATTCTTAGTTTCTTTTAATCAGTAAGAAGATATTACTAGCTTTAGTTTAGCACTGGTTCAGGGATTACTAGTGTTTCTACAATGGAAGTCATTAAAGCGGGGGGTTTGAGGGAAGGCAAATTTCTTTTACAGGGCTCCCTTCCTTCTGGAGGATGTTTCTCATGTAAGGGATGGTACAAAAAAAAGCAAAGGGACGCTTGGGGGAAAATAAGTGAAGCTGACAATTGAGGTCGGCAGCGCTGCCCAAGCAGAGGGGAAGTGGGTGACTCCATCAAGTCGCACAGCGCGCAGCTGGGTGCGGCAGCAGTCTGAAGGTCCTCACGGGTAAAGTATTCCCAGAGCCTACTCCTGCAAGAGTCCTATCTGTCGGGTTCTTTTTTTCCATCTTATCTGTCTCTTGTTTCACTCCACACCCTCCTTTTCTTGTATGGCTTCTTCATTGTCTTGTCTCACTTATCTTGGATCGCAAGCATTCTGGGGCAGGGAACGCATCTTTATATAGTAAAGAGGCAGTGTTTTTATGGTACTATATGCATAATTAATAATAATTCATTCAGTATATAAAGTGAAACTTCTCAAATAAGCATTAAAAATCAGTTGTCTGGAAGAGGGGATCTCTTCAGTTAATGAAAAACATTACTGAAAATCTTGGGGTTAACCTTAAAGTGTATGCTTAAAACAAACCACGACCACTGTTAAACATGCAGGTTGCACATGTTCTGGAATGCTGATTGGGCAGGCTTATGTGGGATCATCCAACACCTTTGCAAGCTGATGAATCTGAGTAATTAAGCTCTCCCTCATTACAGGTCTCCAAAGCACGTTAATCAGGTCTCCACAAGAGTAAAGTTCACTCTGGAGGCAAGAATACATCTTTGACTAATTTGGTGTTTTGATCAGCTGGATTTGGTAAACTGAGGCTGCATTTGAGATATCAGTATTGACCGTATACAATATTATACGCTGCCATATGTTACACATTCTGCAATAAGTTATTGCATACTGACCACAGATCTACTGCAATAGATCTTACAATGTACATTATTTTACTCTATCTCTTTTCATTTTTGACAAGTGTGCATTTCTAAGGACCTTATGAAATACTTTCTCCTCTTCCAATAAAATCACAAGTGGAGTGGTTTGGTTTTGGTTTTTTTTTTAGCTAGGGAATTTGACTCTATATTATGATCCTGACCACGAAATGAGCTCCACAAGGGCAGTACCAGCAGTCTTGTCAATTGTGTTGAACAGCCATCTTGTAGTCCCTAAGCTCACTGAAGGATGGAAATCCCTCTTTACATATGCTGCTGTCATGGCTAACATCTTGAGAAGAATTTTGTCTAGTCTGTTGATCACACAAAATTTAGAATTTAAGTAACACTTAGACAAAGCATATCCATGCATGAAAAGTCAAATACAATTACAAGTATCAAATAATACAAAAATGCTTTTTAAGATGCAGGGAAAATTTTATTTGGAAGACCATAATCAGAATCCTGCTCACACTGATCTAAAACCCTGAAAAAGGTACAGAAATCAGGCAGTGTTAACATACTAAAACCGGTATAAACCAGTAGCATTAGCACCACCCCACTACACTCTTGCTTTAATCCTGCAAACTTGTCTGGCATAGGTAGCCACAGGCATCTTTTCTAATATGCAACATCGTAAAGATCTAGTTATTGGATGCTTGAACATTTAAAGTGGGTTGAGCATTATAATATTGTTAAAACAAGTTTCTAACTGAAATCTTAGTTAGCAGTAAAACATCACACATTTCTTTCCAAAAGGAATTAACTATCTTGAGATAATGCACAGCTCTAATGCTATATGTAAAATTTTTTGAGGCAGAGCACTTAACCAATATCAGCAACTTATACTCAAATGTGATTTGAAATGATGAAAACTTCCTTATCAGAGGCCAACATCAGATTTAATCCATTGAGCAATACTTGTGATTAATACACAAATAGATGGGTGGAAATGCAGAGTTATTAACATTTGAGAAATTAGGAAACCTTATAATCAAAACAGTATTTTACAAATTTATTTAAATACAGAAGAGGAATATGTTCAGGCAGGTCTTCTATTTCAGACATTTTATTTCCCTTTGAAACTTAAAAAAAAGAAGAAGCAAAAGAAGACGACAGACATGCCAATGGCTGAATGGGAGGGTGGGTCTTCCTGTGAGTGAATCATACTTTTCATTCAGTTTTATGAAAGTCTTGCTTCAAGCATGCTTATAATTACTATTTGTTGCAATGGCACACCAGTCTGCCATGCAGTACATTTTACAAGGATTTGCTAGTTTTCTGAGGGTGCAAATCTCTTTTGGGGACACAAACTGCAATGTGGGTCCTTTCCTCAGCACGCACTTGTGGGCTGGGAGAGCTGATAAAGAAATTTCAGTATAGGATGGTCAGGAAGGTTCTGTTGTAATAGCCCGAATTGCTAATTGCAGATGTATAGCAGTCATCAGTATAGACTGAGATAACTATCTAAATCCTGTGGCCAAAGTTAGCTCTGCATCAGAAGCTGTTACTACAAGGACACGCAAAACAAGCCAGATTATGGCCTGTCTTTGTCAGTCTTGACGTTTGACTATTAATCAAGACTTTCTATTAATGCCTTGCTTAGGTACCTGCTATGTTAAATTAAAAGTGATTCTTTTATGGGTGATTCCACCAAAGGTGCCCAGCCACTGCATTGGCAGAGAGAGCACCAAGTTAGGTGTTGAAGAGTTTTATATAGTGCTTCAGGAAAGTCAGCTAACCAGCAAAGGGATCTACAACTACCACCGACCTTGAAACTGCTAAAGATACCACACAGCACATGCTGATGACGGCACTTCAGATCTCTCATATTTGGGAGTTTGGTGCTTTATTTCACAAAAGCCTCCTACCACCAGAGATTTAGAGTTCTAAGGCTTCTCTGAAGTTCAAAGCTCTTTCTTTCAAAATGATAGCAGATAATATTGTTTCTTTCAAAATATGTCAGGAAGAGAAAGCAGTAGC